ATATATATATATATATATATATATATATATACCCAAAAGAAATAGATAATAATAATAATAGTAATATAGCTGCCTATACACTATAAATTATACAGGAAATAAATTGCTAATTAAATAGCTGAGTATACACCTGAATAAATAATAAAAATAATTAATAGCTGCCTATACACCGCAGAATTAATAGATATATATATTATATATTATATACATGCATGGAGCAGGAGGGCCCCTTTATGCCTCTGTTGCTGCTTATTTGTCATTAAATTACCTTTAATATATTAAAACAAATAAATTAATTAATTAATTAAATTAAATAAACAAACAAAAGAAAGAAAAGAAGAAAAAAAAGAAAGAAAAGATTTCTATATAAGAAGCAACGGCTCGATAGGAATGCATCGGGGTGTATAGGCAGCTCAATATGTATTTGTATGTCTTTTTTCTTCTTTTTTTCTTTAAATTTAATTAAATTTAAATTAAATTAATTAATTAATTATATTTTATTAAATAAAAGAATAAAATAAGCAGCAATAAGACCTATTATAAGTCTATTTATCTCCGTTGCTGCTGCTGCTGCCTGTAGTAACTAGAGTGTATGCCAAGAGCAGCAGCAGCAGCAGCAACGGCAATTAAGAGCAGCAACAGCAGCATCAGCAGCTTCCTCTCCTTTTCCCCTTTTATATAATTAATATACATAATAATTAATTATATTTTATTAAGAAATAAAGAAAAGGGTTTGTCTCCTTCTTATGGGGTACATAAACCCTCCACCTATCCATAAGACAGACACGGACAGGCAGCAAGCAGGAGCAGGAGCAGCAGCAACAGCAACAGGAGCAGCAGCAGGAGCATCAGGAGTAGCACTACTCAAGGGTTTAGGGTTTAGGGTTTAGGGTTTATATAATATATTTCTTGGATGTTAAGAGGGTTTTCTTATAACAGCAGCAGCAGCAAACATCTGCGGTGTCTTCTTCGTCCCCACATCTTATCAGCCCCGATACCTCCTTCTTATACTGCAGCAGCAGCAACAGCAGCAGCAACTGCAACTGCAGCAAGAGCAGCAGCAGCAGCAGCAGCAGCAGCAAGAGCAGAAGAAGCTGCTCGTACAGCCCCACGATTTGTGTTGTTGTCTTCGCAGCAGCAGCAACAGCAGCAACAGCAGCAGCATCGCCACATCCATTTCTATAACCACTATATCTATCCCCATCAGCAGCAGCAGCAGCAGCAGCAGCAACGACAGCAGCAGCAGCAGCAGCAGCAGCAGCAGCAGCAGAAGATGGATGACACATTGGTGATAGGAGGAGACACCTTAGGCTGTGAGGATATTTGCACATTTGCTGTTGGTGTTAACAGGTTCTGCTTCGAGGATAAGAGCAGCAGCAGCAGCAGCAGCAGCAGCAGCAGCAGCAGCAGCAATGATGCAACTAGCAACAGCATCGAGAAGAATGGGTGCCCTAAGGGTAAACCCAGCAGCAGCAGCAGCAGCAGCAGCAGCAGCAGCAGCAGTATGTCAATACGTATAGCAGATCTTCGTTTATATTTACAGCAGCAACAACAGCAGGAGCAGAAGCAGCAACAGCAGCAGCAGCAGCAGAAGCAGGAGAGCAGCAGCTTGCTGCAGCAGCCAACAACTCCTCTACCTGCAGCAGCAGCACGAGCTGTCTGTTTGCTGCGGGCAATTTCCTTAAAGAAAAGCGGCATAAGTTTGCCGCTGCTGCAGGGTGTGGGGTCTGCAGCAGCAGCAGCAGCAGCAGCAGATGCAGCAGCACCAGACCTATCAACAGCATCAGCAGCAGCAGCAGCAGCAGGAGGAGATGCAGATATGCTGCTGCTGCCCCGCTGCGGTCCTGGTGGCTGGTGCCAACGTACACGTTCGTCCTTATTATCTATATTATGTGCAGCAGCAGCAGCAGCAAATAAGGAGACTGTCTCCTTTTATGATTTGTGTCTCTTCCTTACTCAGGGGCCAGAGGTAGTAGGTAGATCTCTTGTTGCTGCTAAGGCATGCGCAGCAGCAGCAGCAGTAGCTACTAGCTGCGCAGCAGCAGCAGCAGAAGTATTGCTGCTACCACAGGAACCAATAAATAATATTCTTAAGGATTTAGCTGCTGCAGCACAATGCAGCAGCAGCAGCAGCAGCAGCAGCAGCAGGGATGATGATAATACTGTATATTATTTAATGAATTTGCTGCATGACAGCAAACTGCAGCAGCAGCGTCGTGCTGCAGCAGATTGTGCAGCAGCAATTGCTGCATTTGCTGAGACAGCAGCAGCAGCAGCAAGCATGCAGAATGCAGCAGATCTGCTGCTGTCTGTTGCTGAGGGTGCATGCAAGAGACACACTCATGGACCTAAGGGGACAGTTGCTGCTGTTGCACCAGCAGCAGCAGCAGCTGCTGCTGCTGCATTAGAGAAGATTGGTGCAGCAGAAGAAGGAAGTGCAGCAGCAGCAGCAGCAGCAGAAACTGTTGTGCATGCAGCAGCAGAAGCAGCAGAATTGATTGAATTCCCTCTAGCTAGTGCTGCTTCTCCTTTTGCTGCAGCAGCAGCAGCAGCAGAGTTTGCTGCTGGTGCTTTGCTGCAGGCAATAGTAAAATTATTACAGGAGACAGTATCTATGGCACAACAACAGCAGCAGCAGCAGCAGCAGCAGCAGCAGCAGCAGCAAGAGGAAATAGTCCTTCCTGCTGCACTAGCTGACGAAGCAGAATACTATGGTACTAAGGAGGACAGACAAAGATTAACAGCAGCAGGAGTAGCAGCAGCAGCAGCAAGAGCAAATAAGCTGCAGCAAGCAGCAGCAGAGATCCAACTCCGTGGTATCTACAGCAGCAGCAGCAGCAGCAACAGCAGCAGCAGCAGCAGCAGCAGCAGCAGGACTGTGGTGTTTGGGTATTTATCTGGCATAGAAGATATATGTGTGCTGCTGCAGCAGAGTTTGGGGCTGCATGCAGCATTATTGTTGCAGTGTATAGAGGCAAGAGATATAGATACACTAGAGGAAGCAGCAAGAAGAATAAATAAAGGAAAAAAGAATCCTAATATACGTATACCTATAACAAGAGGTACACGTAATTATTTGCTGCTGCTGCGATCATTTGCTGCTGCTGCTGCACCTCGTAATTTATCTACAAATGCTGCTGTTGCTGCAGCAGTAGAGACATTTATACAAATACCTCTAATTGCATGCAGCAACAAGACAATCAATCTAATCAGCAGCAGCAACAGCAGCAGCAGCAGCAGCAGCAGCAAGAGGAAGAAAAAGAGTAGTAGGGGGAGAGGACTATGTTGGTATAATATATTATATAATATAATAGATATAAATAGAGGAGAAAATAAGATATATAATAATAAGATAAAAGTAGCTAAAGGTAGTATAGATAGAATAGGTAAAGATATAATAAAAAGAGATTATTTATTATTATTTATTATTAATTTATTTATTAATCATGGTGCTATACCATTAGAGACACCTATATATGAATTAAAGGAGACACTTTTATGTAAACAATTTATTCATAATAAATATAATTATAAATATAATTATATTATTGATAAATTTATTCATAATAATAAGGAACAAGAACAAGAGGAGGAAGAGGAGGGGGAAGAGGAGGAAGAGGGAGAAAAAAGAAGAGGAAGAGGAGATAATAATAAAGAAAAAAAAAAAAAAAAGAAGAAGAAGAAGAAAAGGAGATAATAAATAAGAATATAATTAACGAGGAGACAATAAAATTAATATATGATATAAAAGATCAAGGAGGAGAGAGATTAAGTTTACGTTATGATCTAACTGTCCCTTTTTGTCGTTATTTATCTATAAATAATAACATAAAAAGAATAAAAAAATATTCAATAGGTAAGGTATACAGGAGGGACCAACCTAATATAAATAAGGGAAGATATAGGGAGTTTACTCAATGTGATTTTGATATAGCAGCAGTAATAGATGATGATGAGGAAGAGGGGGAAGGGGGAGAGGGAGAAGGAGACACTTTTTCTTATCAAGGAGACACTTCTTCTTCTATGGAGAAAAGGAACCAAGAGGGAACTGCTACTCATAAACAGGAACAGAATAAGGGGTGTATAGGGGGGGATAGCATTGATATTAATTGCAACAGCAATAACAGCAGCAGCAGCAGCAGCAACAGCAGCAACAGCAGCAGCAGCAGCAGCAGGAAAAGTGGAATTGTTAAGAAAGCTTGTGTTAGTCGTACATTAGCAGATGTTGAATGTCTGCATGTGCTGCTGCAGTTGCTGCAGTTGCTGCAGCCATTAATAGGTAATTATATAATAAAAATAAATACAAGAAAGTTATTAGATGGTATATTATCTGTTTGCGGTGTATCTGCAGCTAAATTTGCTGCTGTATGCTCATCTATAGATAAATTAGATAAAGAACCATTTGCTGCTGTTGCTGCTGAGCTGCAGCAGCAAAAGGGACTATCCCCTATTGTTATTGATAAGATTGGGGTGTATGTACAGAAAAAAGGATCTATAAAAGATATGCTGCAGCAACTGCAGCAAGACAAGGAATTAATGCAGCATCCTGCTGCAGCAGCAGCAGCAGCAGATTTTAGTCTGCTGCTCTCCTATCTAGATCTATTATCTATTGATTCTTTCTTCCTATGGGACTGGTCCCTAGCTAGGGGACTAGATTATTATACAGGAATTATATTCGAGGCTGTGCTGCTGCAGCAAGACGGCACCTGCAGCAGCAGCATAGCAGGAGGAGGAAGGTATGATAATCTTATTGGTATATTAAGTAACAACAGCAGCAGCAGCAGCAAACCTATACCTGCTGTTGGTTTCTCTGTAGGTATAGAGAGACTTATTGCTCTTGTTGAGGATAGACAAAGAAACAGCAGCATTACCAACAGCAGCAGCAGCAACAGCAGCATTACCAACAGCAGCAGCAGCAGCAGCAGCAGCAGCAAGGGGAAGAAAGGAGCTGCAGCAGCAGCAGCAGCAGATATAATTGATGAAGTAAGGAGACCATTCACAGATATTCTTGTCTGTTATATAGGAAAGGATATGATCCCGTAAGACACTCACCTCCTGCTGCTGCTGCTGCTGCTGCTGCTGCTGCTGCTGCTGCTGCTGTTTGTTGCTGCTGCTGCTGCTGCTGTTTGTTGTTGTTGCTGTTTGTTTGTTTGTTTGTTTGTTTGTTTGTGTTTTTGTTGCTGTTTGCTGCTGTTTGCTGCTGTTTCTTTCCCTATGAGCTGCTGCTGCTGTTGCTGTATGTGCTATTGCTGCTGTTGCTGCTGTTGCTGCTGCTGCTGTTGCTGCTGCTGCAGTATGGCATTAAAGGCAGCAAGTATATTATGGAGAGGAGGACTAAGTGCGGATATATTTAATGGAGGAAAAGAGACAAAATTAAGAAAACAATTAGATGTTGCTTCCTTACGTCTTATTCCTTTTGTTGTTATTTGTGGGGAAGAAGAAGCAAATAGACAAGCAGTAAGAGTTAAACAATTTATACATAATAATAAACAGCAACAGCAGCAGCAACAGCAACAGCAACAGCAGCAGCAGCAGCAAGAGCAACAGCAGCAGCAACAGCAGCAGCAACAGCAGCAGCAACAGCAGCACCAAATAGATGAGGAAGTACCATTAGATAAACTTGTTGATTTCTTTAAGAAACATATTCATCTCTCTGTCTATGATCAATATGTACAATCTATACTTAATCCTAATTAGCTAGCTAGCTAGCTAGCTAGCTAGCTAGCTAGCTAGCTATATAAATAAATAAATTTTATTTATTTATATATATAT